TAAATTCCTTAGTGGCAGACCAATTTCCACAATTTCTAAAGGCAAAAACTGACGACAGCAAAATATATAGTTATCTTCTGTCCCATACATAACTTCGATCCTTTATATTTCTTGTTGACCAAGTATGTAATGCCACCTTGTGTAAGAGATTATACACGTTAACCATTTTAGTGAAAAGCAGTGCAAATCCTTTTGTGCTTGTTTTACGTAGGATGGTTTAAACATGGAAATGACACAAAACCATATATTTTTGTGAAAATCCCGATGGTGGGTCTTGCACAAAGGGTAGAAATAATTGAGATAACACTCTAGAGAATCTTTAAGCGTTGTTTTTCCTCTGCATTATCGTTTTCGTTGGAAGAAGAGTGAATCTGTATATGTATATATTTCACACGAGTAAATGTTAATATTACAGACGGGAATACTTGTATTCTCAATATATGATACCCTATAACAAATTCTTCTTGAAGCAAGAAAAACATTTTTTTTTCAATTGTAAAAGTTTCTAAGAGAGCGACAGTAATTCGGTATTAAAATAATTATGTGAGGTGTTCTGTATACTGCATAGAAACACATTTCAGATGACACAAAATTTATTCCATTTTGTACACAGAATTTTGCATTTATTTAGATTATCAAAATTTAACAAATAAAAAATCTCGACTATCCTTATTTGAATAAAACTTGTAATTGCCAAAAAAATAATGGTTGTATAAATCAAAACTTCGTGCACTTATAGCTGTAATCATGTTGCATCTATCTTTTGGTCATCAACTGTATAGTGATATAAATAAAAAAAAGGAGATTTGTGTTGCACGTTGATAATACACAAAACCATACACGTTAAATAAAAAGTACATATTCAAGAGATCGTCGAAATGTAAGTTCACTAATGCTACTTGGTATAGTTGTATGCAAATGTAGTTTCCAATTTCCTTAGTTGTACATTTTAGGGCGATTTACCAAAACTAAATAAGTAGTAAACAGTTCACCATACAATGATTTGTGATTTCCTTCTTACAAGAATACGTATATCCTTTAACCCATATTAATTTGCTTTATCATCGTATTTCTAAACTTACATAAGAAAAATCGGAAATTTCTTTGTCGATCACATCCATATTTATTGACATGATCGGTCATTCTTATTTGAACTCGGTCAGTTTTGAAACACTGTCTTGTGTTAACCATAGTATGTCTTATTCTCATTGATAGCAAGCGCTTTAATACTATCGAAGACGGTTGTATTGTTGTATACTGTTGTCCGTCTTGACACGTCTCGCTATACCTCAAGTAAGCTTAATATATTTCTTACCAAAGGAGGGGATACTAATATTGACTCTCATACATCCTCCTCTTCACTCAATGTTAGGGTCTACGAAGACTAAAGTTCCTTCTCGATTTTATGATTTTCAGATAAATCGTTATATAGTTGTATTTTCAATTTATAAAAATAAATATGCAATATATGATATGACCTATACTATAACTTGAGTAGGCTTTCGCAAATTCTTACAAAATATGCATACATGTTGTTTTATTAAGAAAATAAATACCTTTTGATTTAAACGAATTTAAAATAGATTGATATCCGTTGTCTATTACAGTATATTGAGTCCACATACATTTATCTGTTTTTTTTTAATAAATATACAGAACAATTTAAAGGACATTTTTCATGGAAAATTAAAAAGGAATGCTACATATCGACTTATTCCCGTTTTTCTTTCTAAGTCAACAAGTTTGGGGTTGGTGACATGCATGAAAATACTGTTCTAGATCTGGCATCGGAATGTGAAATCATCAACCGAACAAGGTTTTATGTATAAAGCGATACTCTCGCAATGAGGTATTAATATTAGGAATGATGTTTACGTTAGGGAGCTACCATTTGATTTTTATGGGGGGAGGGGGCTAGGATGAAATTTGAAAAAAATAGGCAGGACAGGAGTTTTGAGTAAAAAAAAAGGCAGGATGAGACACTTTGCAAAAAAAAGTCAGGATAAACTAAAAATAAAAGGCAGGACCGAATAGAGTGAAAAATAAAAAGGCAGGACAGAGATTACAAATTAAAAAACATGCAGGACAAAATTTGTCATCCTAGCCCCCCCCCCCCCCCCCCCCCATAAATATCAAATGGTAGCTCCCTTAGTGAGACAGACTGAGTATTCCAACCACACAAAAAACAATCAAAGTACTGAAGTACTGAAAATCGGATGACCGCAAGTTCTGGTGGATGGTCACAAGCACTTGTCTCGGAAAAAAACATCTCTCTACCTGAAAGTTAGGTAAAGGTACATAGATATATTTTTTCTTGGACACAGTTCCTGTGTGGATGATGAATAAATGACAGGTAATTCAACCTCACCGTAATAATTATTATATTGTAGTGATATAATCATTTGTTATCAGTATACTCTGGTTTCTTGTTATATATTATATTAATATTTGTATAACAGTTATATATATAGCAGATCATCTTAATAACTCTACAGGCAAATTTTCATTCATTTATATATCATATTTCTATTCTACTATTCTAATGATAGTACAGTGCAAGTGTATGGTGGACATTCTTCTGTAATAATTCGTTTTTTCTAATAGATTGGAGTTGAGTAGGCATTCATATTTTCCCGCTTTTGTTGCAAAACGTTCTCGAGAAATCTTTCCGTATGCGTAAACACAAATTTTCGGTATCCATGATTTGTTATTGCTATATATATTTCTTACGACAAAACATTTTCATACATTTATCTATGTTCTTAAAAATTATTTTCATGAATATTCATTGATGAAATTAATATATAACAAGCGATAAGGAATGTTATTTTGCACTCGATAATATCAGTCAAACGGCAAGGAAATGTCTGCGGCAACATAACACCGGTATGACCTCTCAGGGTCACATCCAATGTAAAAAGACAACCGAAGGTCAATCTAAGGTCAATCAGTAATAGTGTCTAATTAGAATAACAAGTTCGAATTTACCTGAGTCTAGAAATGCTTTGGATAAATTATAAACTTTCAAAGATCTGCCATCAAAACTAAATTCTCTTCGTGTCAAAAAAACAACATAAAGATTGAACGAAAGACAATCACTATCGACATTGGACAAGCGCATGCACATACGGTATACCATTTTAATATCAACCAGTGGAGTAACAATTGGTGCAAAAAAGGACATACTAGAAAAGTCAGACTAGAAAAAAGCATTTTACTCCATAATATTGGTATAAAAGATTACAAAAACACAAGTTCTTACAAAAAGAAATTAATGATATACAATACCGTATCAAAAATACTTGGACTTATAGCAAGCTCAAAGTACTAAACCTGCTACTGCAATTATTTGCACCTTTCCTAAATCAGGAATCTGATGTTCAGTAGTTGTCGTTTGTTGATGTTCATAAGTGTTTCTCGTTTCTCGTTTTTTACATAGATTAGACCGTTGGTTTTCCCGTTTGAATGGTTTTACACTAGTAATTTTTGGGGCCCTTTATAGCTTGCTGTGCGGTGTGAGCCAAGGCTCCGTGTTGAAGACCGTACTTTAACCTATAATGGTTTACTTTTATAAATTGTGACTTGGATGGAGAGTTGTCTCATTGGCACTCATACCACATCTTCTTATATTTAACATGAAATCATCATAAAGCGATTACAAACTTGCACGTTAACCATTCATATCATATTTTTTTTGAATGCCACTTGGTGTGAACAGCTGTTGGTAGACTAACAGTATCAGTTGATAACATCCAGCAAGTTGATAGCGCTTCTATATTGCATAATTCAAGATATATACATTGTCCGTAAATTTACAGGTCATGCACTAATGTAATTGTACTGAAAGTATGGTTACAACTCACTCAGTAAAAGCTGACATTAGATTATTTTGGCCGTTCTTTAAAGGTGCTATTGCATTTTAAGCTCTTCAGCGATTTATATTTTTGGCTACGGAAAACTTTTTTGAAAATCTGATGTTGGTTATTCCAGAAACATTTATTGTACGCACGTTAATTATATCAAACGTGTTGATATCATTATCTGAAAACTGGTAATAATTATTGAATACATTTTTAAGTTGTTACAAGTAGTCGGTTGACTACAGATGACAGAAAGCACTCATGGGTTAGATGTCCGAATTGGATATATTTTCTGCCTTATATTGCAATGTTCTAAAATATATGATTGATTGATATTTCTTTTGTTGGGGGGTTACTACCAAGTGGTAAAATACTTCATGTATAATAAGGACGAAATTTTAAAATAAATCCAGCAGGTAGGCTCTGCAACATGTGTCGACTTTTATGAAGTGCAAGACTTGTGTCTGCCACTGAAAAATAGGGTATGTTGGATAGGGGGAAACCTTATGCCTTGCAACAGGTCACATACAAATTGTTGTGGCAACAGAGCGCGTCGCACTCTCCATACACAAGGTTTTGGATTAAATGTCGCCGTTCGACTGAACGTAGCTGTGTATTTATACATCCCACACAGTCAAACGGACACACATCTTTTGCATCGGTTTTGCTTGCGGATTTGATATGTCCATGCATTACTATATCTATACACCAGTTCACTCTTTGGTTTAACTAAAATTGAATAAAAAAGTCAAAGTTCAAAGCACTAAATCTGCACATGAATAGACATATAACTCGTGCATGTTTTTGATAGTGTTGAGAAATGACATTTGATTGAAGGTTGCTGTATTGGTATGTATAATTCGTGCATATACATACCTCGAGATACATACATTACATGGTTTGAACAAGAATTTGAGAAAAGACTAATTTTAAGTGATTATTTAAGTTTTCGAATGAATGGTTTGTTTTTTGGTGTTATTTAATTGGCGTTAATTTAAAACTATGTTTTATTTACGTACTTGATACTAGGAATCTGCATAACACTTTAAAACATTTTCTTCCCTCGTTGTTACTATAATGAGGGACATTGAACCTTTACGTAATTATTCTAGTATCAGTATTATAATGTCACACATTTGATACAAATATCAGACAGTTTATTTATAATTTACTACAGGAAAATAATGATATATCTAAATTCCGATCTGAAGTATCTGTTTCGGAAATGTGTATATACTTTAGGTTATAAGATGTGTTGTTTTTATATGGTGAGCTTTTAACTGACTTACAACAAGGTAAGTTATATAAACCATGCATTTTAGACCACCGTTACATATTGATATGAGTGTTGTGAATTTGAACATTACTTTTATAATACATAAAGAAAACATGCGGACACTACAAACAACCAGGATGTACTTAAAATGAAAATGAAATCTAAAATACAATAAGAGGTATATGTATAGCATATGTGCAGTTGTTAAACTTTTCCTTAGAAAACAAATTCATGTACAAAAGGGCAAAAGATTTAAACCCTGTTAAACTTCGTTATAAACAGATGTTGCACGTTTCCTTTCCCCGACTTCTTTTAGAAATAACACTAACACACCCTTATCCGCCACTGTGAAAGTACACATGTTCTAAAACCATGTCCAGGATATCCTTAAAAATCAGATGGTTGCTTCTTACTACGCTGAAGGTAAATACTAAGGATCATTATTTTCACCAGCATGACTTTCATTGTATATTTAACGCACACTTTGATTTAATTCAGTCCAAAACAATTTCTTGAAAAAGTCTATTGATCATTTTTCAATTCGATTATTCGACAATTCAGTTGGCAAATCAAGGGAGTTTCTATTGCACACCTGGCATCTAAAGCTTTGAAAGACGTTTCTATCAGATTTCAAAACACAAACTCCGGGGGCAAGTGAGGACAGACATCCCCCTCCCCCACGGATCAATGGATGTTCCCAGTTTTGAGGATTTCTCAAATGCGCACTGCGCAATGTGTCTGGTTGAAATGGAGACGTTAAATCTCATAACCCTGGTGTCAAGCTCCCTTCATGTTAAACTGTGATGTAAGGCCAAATTTCTGCTCCGATTCAAAATTCTTTCTTTTCCAGATGCAGTCCTAATTTTCAGGTTTCATCACAGTTGATCCATCTTACATTACCTACATATTTGATAAAAAGTTTCCTCGTCCTAAACATGCATGAAATATAAGCAATTGGTAGTTAAGCAAACAAAGATCAGGCAATTAAAAAACGAAATTCTACCGCAGGGTCATTTTTTTGTGCTAAATCGTCAAAATTAAATAACAAACAAAATAATACTTAAGTTATTTTGAAATGCTTGTAGATTTTTTGCAATTTCAGATGCTAAATGATGACCCGCCTTCCTCCTGTATCTTTAAAAGCAGGCCAACCATAATAAAGCTTATAAAGGATCTGAAACCACACATTCTGCATTTATTAACAACGGATCAACTCTAAAGTAATTCAGGTCGGAAAAAAACATACAATATTTGTAAATTCACGTTGCAAGATTTAATACCAAAAAAACACAATATCGCTTAGGACAGCTCAAGTTCTATGAGACTAAGTTAAAAATAGGTCAGTCAAAATTTTTAAAAGAAAAAAAATCATATGATATGAAATAAAAAAATTCAAACATATACAAAATGTGATAATAATAATAATAATAATAATAATAACAATAACAATAACAATAACAATAACAATAATAATAATTATAATAATAATAATGTGACACACGTGTGGAGCAGAAAAATATATTAACAAACTCTTTCACAAAGCTTACTTTGAAATCATGAATCTGAATTAAGACATACTAATCACTTGAAATGAACTACATTTTAATTAAATTAACATTAACTTCTTAAGACAGTATTCATAAATACTTGCTATTTGATGACTTTCATTCAATTTCGATAATATTTCCCTAAATATTATTTACTCATAGGGTAAAAATCTAAAGTGGTCAAATTCTCTTGGAATTTTAATATCAAAGAATCTATCACATTTTTAAACGTTTCGAACAATTTTACATGTTTCCATAAATACAAATTGTTATTTCGCGCTACAAATTCCTGTCCGGAAGGAACTTTCCTTCAAAATAAAATCATGAAATTGTGCATGTGTTTGTAAAATTTTGTAACAAAGGACGTCACTCCCCAAAATGAATCTATTTGTTGCAAAAGCACAGTACATGCATAATTTTACTAATGACAGAATGTTGGCTTTGTTTAAGACCTTCTTAAACATTTTTTGATAAATATTAAAAAAAATTCCAACACTGCTGTATTTGGCTATCTTCGGGTTTATATAATTTAGAAAATGTTTTGAAATAAGTCATTGTAGAAAATCAAAGAATCGATATTTTAAATGCAAGTAAAAAGGAAAAGACTTTTTGAGAATGACCCTCGTGTGAAATATGCCTCTTTTGATTATTTACATGACATTGTGGCTTTAAGAATGGTGGTGTTAAGGGAGCAACCATTAAACTTCAAGGGTGGGGTATGGTTTTTTGTCTGAGTCAGAAATATTTTTTTTAGTTTTTCGACACTATTTATCAAATTATTTTTTCCCCAAAATTTAACACTATATGGTATGGGGAAAATCTGGATTCAGAATATTTTTTTTCATCAAATTGGGGATCAGAATATTTTTTATCTTTTGGTGGTATTTAATTTGGGGTTAGGAAATGGCATTAAATTGACTGCGACTCTCAGAATATTAAGGTTTTTTGTCGACTTTTGGGATATTCGATCAACACGTATTATCATATACCAATCCAATCCTGTTGCCAATAATGTTCCTTTTGCTTACAAATTAATTAAACGCGTTTTATTTCCTTATTGTTTTAAATTTAATCAAACACTTTTCAAGAACACCTGATAACATTTTCAATTAGTGAAAAAGCTTGCCTATAAGCAGTGTTTTTCTTGGTTTCCGGTTTTATGCATATCCAATCTATTTTCAAGGTTTTTCACTCATTACCTCCAGCAAACTGTGTGCTTCTCTATACGAATGATGCGTTGTAGAATGAATGCTAATCAGATTTGTAAACTTTGGTTTCTTGGTTGTTGCAGATGATATATAGCGCATAGTTTAAAAATTGTGAAATGAAAACTCTGTTTATATTTGCACTAAAAAAATCTTTTTTAGTAAATATTACACGACCTAAATATAATTATAGCAGTGTTTGAAGTGGAGCTAAGTAGGCCATCAACCTTTTATCATTGACAGCATATTTATACAAAACACACACTTATTAAAATAGAAGAACGATATTTTCAAGTACAGAATTGTTACCATGATAAGTTATGGTTCGTGCTCATGTAATGTATGCGGAGACTGATAGGACACACTTTAATGATTTGCAAAACTGTTTTAAACTGTCCGTGGTTTGAAAGTAAAAGCCTAAACATTAACCTTTATGGTTATTCCTTAATGTCAACTGATAGAAGGGACTTTAAGCAACCAACAATCAATCAATAAATCATCTGATAGGAAAAGCAAAATCTGTAGAATCGCTTGCTTCGACATAATCTTTGCATTCCTTGTGGTATAATTCTTAATGAACAAAGATAAAACTTTTGTGTTGACTTTAGTTTGTATGATTTGCTTTCAAAACCTTTGACTTGGCGTCTACCTGAAGAAGTTTTATTATAAAACTCAATATCAGTGCACATCATAACTAATACTGAGGAATTTGGTTTTTAAACTGTAGATATTTTACCCATTTGTCATTACTTTCGTTGCCTTGAAATCAGTTAACAGCAACAGTTTGATAATCAAAATTGTACAAACGATTAAAGTTCGGGATTAAATATTAATTTACTCCAAGTGTAAAATGTCTACATATTTTACTTTTAATTGAATCTATCACAGCAAGGTAAAAGAAACCTTTCACGTCCAAGTATCAACACATTTATCTATTTATTACAATAAATCATCAAATGACTTATGCCAACCTAGCAACAAGTAGTCAAAGGATTCAACAAGGAAAAAATAAGTATGTTTGTTAAGCTTATTTCTATATCAGACCACAATGATTATAATATCGTCAGTCGATTTGTTGCACGATCATCGAGTGTAATTTGTTAAATGATAGACGTTCTGATTGACGAATTTTATGTATTTGTTGCATTATAAGATTTAAAATTAATGGGAAATATTTCAGTCGTGCTATTTGTGGAGACTGCTTTATCTTTTCACTCCATGCAATTTCAAGATGCATTTTAACATTTTTCTGTTATCTTTGAATTATTATGTAAAGTAGGAATGCAACTACACAATAAAGGTAAGATAGCCTTTTAATATATATATATATTTTTTAAATTGAAGGAGCAGACAAATTTTAAACATGTATTATATAATATTATGTTACATATAAAAATAAGAAGATGTGGATATGATTGCCAATGAGACAACTATCCACCGGAGTTCAAATGACGATTCGGAAGATAAAAGCAATTATAAGTCACCATACGGCTTCAACAATGATAAAAATCCATACCGTATAGTCAGCCAATCGGGATCTTTTGTCAGTTAGAGAGTCAATAAATTATTTCAACTTATCAATTGATAAAGGCAACTATATTTAAAAAAAAAAGACTAAACACATTTTTTTTTCATTAATTCTTAGAATAAAATAACAGTGCCATCCGTTTGTATGACAAAACTGAAACTATCAGAATGTATCTTTTCGGTTAATATTTTGTGCAAGCTTCCCCTTTTTATTTTTCGACGAAAGGTGTAATTTAACAACATTTGGGATGTATAAATGACCAAAACCTTTTTAACTTTGAATGACCTGTTGGTTGATAAATTACTATGAAAGTTTACGAAATCAATAACTGTCTCTTTAAAATTCATTTATTGGAAAAATTTTGTTTCGCTTTGTTAACAAACGATTTATTATCTTTGTATTGATAAAACACTTGTTTATACTGACTTATGTTTTTTTCAGAAATTGTGGTCCTGCGTGTGTTTCATCACTGTCATCATTTCGTTATCAGAGGCAGACGACTACTATAACAAGCGAACGTGATTTATGGTGTTTTTAACCAATCGGGATCGCTTATACGTTTGAGAGTCAATAAATTATTTCAATTCAACTTATCAGTGGATAAAGGAAACTATATTTAAAAAAACAGAGTAAACACATCACTGTTACTGTTAAAGTTCATTTTGGAGAAGTTATTTAAATTTCTGACTTAGAACTATGGAGGGCTATTGTCAGACTAGGTTTCATTACTTAAATCAGAAATTTTTTAACTTCATTACATGTTCTATGTGCTACCAGTATTTATTCCCAACGAATAAAGAACTAGTGTCGAGAGGATTATTCTTGGAGGCAACAAGTGAATCAAGGTATAAAAAAGGGACACAAATTTTAGCAAATATCTCAAACGCAACTTTTGCAAAAAATGTTTGTAAGACATTAGAAGCGGAAGGAGACTGTAAAAGATGGACCGATTGTTGTTACTCTGCAATCAAATGTTGCAAGGATCAACTTGCGGCGCCTTTTCTTTATAATGGCACAAGTCATTGTCCTCGGATTTGGGATGGTTATGGCTGTTTCCAAGATACTCTTCCCGGAGTCCGTGAATATATTCAGTGCCCCTCTTACATTGAACATGGGGTTACACATGGTAAGTAGATATTTACACATCTGTCATTGCTGCTGATTTTTTTCCAGAGTATTCTGTCCGTTGCCACGTGGAACGATTTCTTTGATTCAAGAGTTTCCAAGTGAATTTCTGTTCTCGTGTTATTGAATGAGTTTGTATTATGCAATTGTGAAGCTATGAAAAATTCAAAATACAGAATTAAATTTCTTTAAAACGGAATAAAAACTGCTATTTCCCAAAACTAGTTTTCCCATAACTTAGCATAGCATTATTGTATAGTCACATCTTCATAGACGTTTAACCTTCTTATATAATTTTATAATATGTTAAATACATGGTGGTAAACGAAAAAACTTTCATTCTCATGATATAATACTTCCTCGTGACACTTAACATGTACGCCTCAAATGATGAAGATGTGTACAACTGTTAAACTGAAGTCAGGATTTTTATTTCGATTGCCAGTCATTTGGGGTCTACATTGAATCATTTTAAATAAAAAAAAAAACATAACTTTTATTAACTTTTACTTAGTGAGGTCTGGAGAATTTGAACTCGTGCAAAATTCAGGAGTCAAGTCATATGTTTATGAATGACAAAAACGTGATGTTCAGTTGTTGCAGATACAAACAAAGCTATGTAAAACTGAATGACTGACCAACAAATTTTATCTCCAAAATGTAAAATTACATACTTTATAAAAATAATGAGATGTGGTATGATTGCAAATAAGACATCAATCCATGAGAGTCCAGGTGACGTGCATGTACATGGTCATTGAACAGCTTTCAACAAGAAGCAAAACCCATATAATATAGTCAGCGTTAAAAGGCTCCGACAAGAAAACAAAATGTGAAACAACTCATACCCGAAATCCCTAATTTATGATTAAACAATAAATGACAAACAAATAGGGCAAACAGCAACAGCCCCTGAACACTTAAAGAATGTGACTGGTTAAACATGTCTATGAGCGCTTTACCATACGCCTTACATTGGACATTGATGTTACAGCACACTGTAAAAATCAGTTGGAAATGGCTTGACTCGTCAGATTGGCACGAAGCACAAAAACAACTAACATCAAGAGGAAAGACACGATGGTACCCACAGTTACTAGATCAAAGCCAATTACAACTAATAAATAAATAAATGGTTTCCCAATCTAAATTTAAAAGACTAACATTTTAGTTGTTATATCAAAGCTATATGTAATATATAAATATTTTATCAAATACTTCGTTGGCTTGCAAGTCAATATAACAGTGAGGTGTAGTATTAAGAATATCACAATCCTTGAGATTTGCAGATATCCAATACAAAAGACAATCAACCTGACCACGACCTCTGTTATATGAGTGACATAAGCTTTTATTAATTATTTACTTTTGGATCTTTTTCGTGTTTGTATAAACTATGTTAAAATTTTAAGGGTACATTAAGTTTCTAAATCTTAAGTATGTTAACATTTGATATTAAAATTTTGGCATTATACGATTTTGCTAGATTTGAAAAACAAACAAGTATTGTAATGCTTAGTATTTGGATATATATATATATATATATATATAAACCTTTTTTTCTAGAATATGCACTGTATAATGTACATACACAGGTACCAATATAAATAAATATATATGTTAAAAGATTGTGGACAAAAAAATATCCCAAAATTTAATATTTACAAGTAAACAACACGTATACACTATTTACAATACTAATCAAACAAATCGAATGAAGTGGTCGGTAGCATTCGTCTACTCTTCCATTGACATAAATTTACAACGTACTAGGCTTATCCGTGGTTAAATACAAACAAATATCTCGTATTAAGTCTTTTTTTTTAATATATATAAGAAGAGTTAAACATGATCTTACATATAACTGTCAGATGAAGCACATTTATGTTTGCTTATTTATCAAAAACCTCTTTTTGTGCAATTGAACATGAAGGTCAGTTGTGTAACAAGGTTTATTATTCAAATTAAAGCCTTTATATCACAAATTAGAAACATGATACATTTACATAGAAAAATAACTTCTACAAAAATTTATTTAGCATTTGAAATTGATTTTAAATAAAACTTGTTTCTTTGTATGCCCTTATAGAGCCTTAATAGACGTGACAAGCTTAAGGATACCAGAAATATATAAGTTAACTTATAAAGTAACTTAAATAAGAAAATCATTACAGGATTGCGTGGTGCAGAGGTATTAATTAATTCGATATGTTATCTGATGCAGTTACGTATTTATTCTTGTGTGTCGCTACGCTTTTCAAGGATAATAAATTGTCAGAATTTTGATTTCGCTAATCAAAATGAATGAAGAGCCATTAAGAAAATAAAAGTTGTATGTACTTGGTATCTCACGAAACACAACACAAATGGATTTGATCTGTTACAAACCTTTTATTAGGTCTTACTTATATGATGACCGGTTATAGGAAATTAATGGTCACTAAGCGCTATTAACGTTAAATTATATGTGTCCAGGAACTGGCAGTGGGATTTTATTTTGCAATTTTATAGCATTAACACGGGGACTTTGAAGTCGTGCTTAATTGCTTTATATTTTCGATTTTTGCACTGTAATCCTCTGGAAATATACAAAAAAATATATTTAGCAAATTACCAAATGAAACGAATAATAAAAACATATCATGGTTTCGAAACGATCCTGTAATATCATATCAATGTATTTGCTTTTTTACGATTTTTTTTATTTAATTACAAATATTTGCTTATCATCCAGTGACAAATGTTTGATACACATTAAGTACGAAACGAATTTAAAACAAATCAATCGGCAGGATCTACAAACTGAATCGAACAGGATACTATGCGGAAAATTTGGACTAACACTAGAAAAAGAAGATATCTTTGATAGTTTCGAAAAGTGCCCTCCCAATAGGCCACCATATAGTCTAAGAGTTAATCACTTAATCAAATTCTGTATGCCCCCGCCGTAGCATTAAGTTTTACCCTTGTCCGTCTGTACGTACGTCCCAAAATTGGTTTCCGTTCTCTAACTTTAGTTTGCCTCAACCAAATATTATGAAACTTATACACAAGGCTTATTACCACAAAACACAGATCAAGTTTTAATTTTGGTGGCGTCACTTTTACCGTTATAGAGTTATGCCCCTTTACAAATGGAAAAATTGCTGAATTTTTCGTTTCCATTCTCTAACTTTAGTTTGCCTCAAACAAATGTTATGAAACTTATACACAATGCTTATTACCACAAGACACAGATCAAGTTTGAAATTTGGTGGCGTCACTTTCACCGTTCTAGAGTTATGCGCCTTTACAAATGATTAAAATGCTGAATTTTTCGTTTCCATTCTCTAACTTTAGTTTGCCTCAACCAAATGTTATCAAACTTATACACAATGCTTATTACCACAAAACACAGATCAAGGAATTTTGGTGGCGTGACTTTTACCGTTCTAGAGTTATGCCCCTTTACAAATGGAAAAATTGCTGAAATTTTCGTTTCTGTTCTCTAACTTTAGTTTGCCTCAACCAAATGTTATGAAACTTATAAAAATGCGTATTACCACAAAACTCAGATCAAGTACAAATTTGTGTAGCGTCACTTTTTCAGTTCTTGAGTTATGTCCCTTTATAACGTTATATTCAAGCGGGGGCATCATCTGTGTCCCATGGACACATTCCCCATTAATTTTTTACGACTTCAGTAAATGAAAAAAATCTTTTAATTGTCAGTCAACTTTCGAACCCTCTTGGGAAAAGAATATGTTGATGTAAACCAATTGCAGTTATTGTATTTGTGTTTTATTAATTTATTTATATTTTAAAAAGTTGAGAAAGGGGACATTCAAAACTCATAAGTCGAGTGAAACCAACAACGCCATGATAAAAAACGAAAAACGACGAAAAGACAAACAAGTTCACAAAACATTACTTAGAAGACTAAGGACTGAGCAACATGAACCCTACAAAAAACTAGGGGTAATCTGGAAGGGTATTCAGTACAACACATGATTTTTGACCTGCAAAATAAACATCTTTAAGAAGTTATTATTTTATTCAAATGGTATTTTATTGTCACACTTGAATTGCAATACTACATGTATTTTTGTTAAGATTCGAGAACTTAATTTTTATAGCTGTAATTGATCTTTTTAATGTTGCTAAATTATAACCTTCAAACGAAACGTTCTAAGGCTCAAAAGTATGACCACTAATTATTCTTACCCAATCCGGTTCTAAAAAAGTGACAAAAAAAATGACGTACTTGTTAGGCCTAAAAAAAAAATATCTGTGTTTCCGGTAACATCATTTTGAAAAATAGGGTCGGTAGGTTGGATTTTTTTTTTTTTTTTTCTGACATTGTAAACGAAATCCGGAAAATTATCATTTTTTTTCCAAGTCCGGGTCCGTAATTAGTTTTAAATACCGGAAGTGCGGCCATTTGCAATGTTTTTGAAGCACCTGCTGTGCAAATTTCTTGGATTTTAACCTATTTGGAATACCTTTTGACATAAATAAAATGTTTTACTGGCTTTCTTTGCCAGTAGAAGCAAGTTAGATAAATAATTATGTCGATTAACAGAAGCCTGTGTCAAAAACAGGGTCGGTTGATACCTTTTTTTTGAAGATCCAATAAAAAAATTAGGGTCGGGGCTAAAAAACAGGGTCGGTCGGGTTACCGGAAACACAGATTTTTTTCTTTCTCGGCCTTAAGGATGTATTCTTCTGAGGTTTCAGTCTCGTTGAAATCGCGTTCTGGAATTATTTCCAAAACATGTGATATAAGTGAAAAATATCAATGAATTTTAAAAAAATATTATAATCAAACTTAATTCTGTGAAAAAATTGTGTATTTACAATAAGTAGTATTTGAGTAATAAAATTTTCAAATTTTATAACCAATCACGTCAGTCTCAATAGCCAAAATGTTGAGAAAATGGGTGAGGGGTACAAGAAATGATTTTACCAGATACATGTACATCCCATATCAATTTTTTTCTTTTCAAATTTCTGAGATATGTA